TATTTTTAAGGAAAAGGGAGTTAGGTTTTGCATGAAATATGGCAAAAGACAGACTGCTCTGTTGAAATCAAAGTTGTTGCACATATGTTCATTGCAGCACTCTTCACAATAGCAAAGACATAGAATCAACCTAAATGATTAAAGAAATGTGGTACATATATACCATGGAATACTATGCTGCCATAAAAATGAACGAGATCATGTCCTCTGCAGGAACACAGATGAAGCTGGATGCCAGTATCTTTAGCAAACACTAATACAGGAACAGAAAACCAAATACTGCATGTTCTCACTTATAAGTGGAAGATAAATGATGAGAACACATGGACACATAGAGGGGAAGAACACATACTGGGGCCTATGGGAGGATGGAGGGCAGGAGGAAGAGGAGGATCAGGAAAAATAACTAATGGGTATGAGGGCTTAATACCTGGGTAACAAAACAATCTGTACAACAAACCCCCATGACACAAGTTTATATATATAAACTATATAACAAACCTGCACACGTATCCTTGAACTTTAAAAAATTAAAAAAAAAATCAGAGGTATTGGGATTGCAATTAGAGATACCAGTATAAACATATGAGTTTTAATATATATTGATAGATATATAAAAATGAATATAAATGTGCACAGGTGTTGTATATGTATATGTGTGTGTATATATATATACATATACACATCTATATTACATATACATATTATTTTAATTCCCAAGCTCTGTCATCTGACAAGACCTTAGAAGCAATCTCACTGCAGTAGCAAGGAGCACACCCAGGGCCCAGATCTTGGTCTGCAGTATCAATCTCCACTAAAAGGAACTAGGGCTTCTCCGAAAAATGGTTCATTCCAGATTGGGTCAGGAAAAGGGTAAGATAAGCCTTGAACATCCTGATATACTAAAAGTAAGGAAGTTTCCAAAGAATGATTCAGACATGTCAGAAGGACACAAAAGCCAGTCTGAAGAAACTGCCACTGGCCAAGTCTGGGACATTTCGAGCATGGAAATAATGATGGTAAGGATTAGAACTTACTGAATAAAAAAAGAAGACATGAGTCTACACTGATAAATAGAAGGTCAGGGGAAGGAATAGCTCTTCCTTGTAGTAGAAAGCCAACTGACAAATGTAGAAGGGATGATCAGATTAGAAAATCACCATTTGTTGGCCAGGTGTGGTGGCTCACATCTGTAATCCCAACACTTTGGGAGGCCAAGGTGGGCAGATCACTTGAGGTCAGGAGTTCAAGACCAGCCCGGCCAGCATGGTGAAACCCCATATCAATGAAAAATACCAAAATTAGCCGGGCATGATTGTGTATGCCTGTAGTTCAGCTACCTGGGAGGCTGAGGCAGGGGAATGGCTTGAACCCAGGAGGCGGAGGTTGCAGTGAGCTGAGATCATGCCATTGATCTCCAGCCTGGGTGACAGAGTGACTCCGTCTCAAACAAAAAAAAAAAAAAAAAAGAAAAAAAAATCTCCATTAGTCAACCATTACAGTAATAATTCTAGCTAGAATCATCAATGGACATAATAATACATTCATATTTTCTCAAAGTATAAGCCCACAAGATTTTAGAGATGGGGTCTTGCTACATTGCCCAGACTGGTCTCAAACTCCTGGGCTCAAGCAGTCCTCCTGCCTCCTAAGTAGCTGGGCCTACAGGTGGGCACCACCATGCCCAGCTCTGATAAGTTTAAAGAGTACACGTTTTTTAATAGTGGAAATATAAATTGGTATAATTCTTTTGAAAAGCAATTTTGTAAAAAAATTCACCCTTCTCTCTCTCTCTCTACTTATATCAGTGCAGACTCGTGGCTTCTTGTTTTATTAAACAAGCTCTAATCCTTATCCTGATTATTTTCATGTTCAAACTGTCCCATATTTGGCCAGTGGGAGTTTCTTCAAACTGGGTTTCGTGTCCTTGTGACATGTCTGTAACACTCTTTTAGGGACTTCCTTACTTTTAGTATATTGGGACGTTCAAGCCTTAAAAACAGCCTTAAAAATATTCCCTGGGTCCTGGTGATACTACACTGAGAAGCTACCCTATAAAACAACCCTAATCACACAAAAAGCTTTATACAAAAATATATTTGTAGCAGCATTTTCTTTTTAAAATAGCAGTCAAAAATGAAGTAATCTAAATGTCTAAAAAAGGTTTATATACTTCCATAGCTGTTAAAATAAGGTTTACAAATATGTGATTTTGATATGATGTTGAATTATTTTTTTTTGAAGCTGACTTCTGTCTGGGCATGGTGACTCATATCTCTAATCCCAGTACTTTGGGAGGACAAGGCAGGCAGATTGCTTGAGCTCAGGAGTTCAAGACCAGCCCAGGCAATGTGGAGAGGTCCTGCCTCTAGTAAAATACCAAAAAAAGATCCAGAAGTGGTGGTACACACCTGTGGTCTCAGCAACTCAGGAGCCTGACATGGGAGGATCACTTGAGCCCAGGTGGGTTGTGGGGGTGGGGGCAAAGGCTGCAGTGAGGTGAGATCACATCACTGCACTCCAGCCTGGGTGACAGAGCGAGACCCTGCCTTTTTAATTTTTTCTGTAAAATTATTTTTTTTTAAAAAAAGCTGACTCTGTCCAGACACAGTGGCTCACACATTTTGGGAGGTTGAAGCAGGAGAACTGCTTGAGCTTAGGAGTTCATGACCAACCTGGGCAATACAGTGAGACCCTGTCTATATTTATAAAATAAAAAAAAAAAGAACAAAAGCTGCCTTCTGTTTCTGTCACTATGGTGGGCTAGACAAGATACTTTTTAAAATACAAAAGGTAAAACAGTAACTTTCCATAGAAAAATATGGAAATATGGTAGACATCACCTTAACAAAATTATCAAAGCTACCATTACCAGTTATGGGGATCATCAACATGTGTCTTCTGATAGGATACACTAAGCATCCTCTTCTGTGGTATTCAAGGGACATTATACAACATAACAGTCTGTCCTCTTGAAAAACTGTTTCAGATCAAAGGAGACTAGAAAGACATTACAACTGAATTCAATATATCATCTTGGATTTGCTTTTGTTATAAAGGATATTATTGGGAAAACTGACAAAATTTCATTAAGTCTAGAGATCAGGAAAGAGTCCCATGTGTGTAGTACTGATAATTTTACTGTGATTATATAAGGTAAATCCTGTTTGCAAGAAATATACACTCAAGTATTTTAGGTTAAAGTGTTATGATGTGCAATTTACTCCTAAGCAATTCAAAACTTTATATATATATGTGTGCATATGTACATATATGTTTATATATACATATACATACATATATTACTTTTATATGTTATATATACACACACATACAGATTAAAAACAGAGGGAGGAATAACAGAAAGATAAAGCAAATGTAGTTAAATCTGAAATTATGTCAAAATTTTAAAAGTATGTAATTATCTATGTTCTAGTCTGCCAGATGCACTAAAGGGGATGTATATTCAAATAATCTTAGCATTCTTCTTCACCAAAGTCCAGACACATTTCAAGACACATTTCCAGACAAAAACTCAATACAAGGCCAAGTACAGTGGCTCATACCTGTAATCCTAGCACTTTGGGAGGCTGAGGTGGACAGATCACAAGGTCAGGAGATGGAGACCATCCTGGCCAACATAGTGAAACCCCATCTTTACTAAAATACAAAAAATTAGCCGGGCATGGTGGTGTGCACCTGTAGTCCCAACTACTCGGGACACTGAGGCAGAGGAATCACTTGAACCCGGGAGGCAGAGGTTGCAGTGAGCCGAGATCGCACCACTACACTCAAGCCTGGTAACAGATTGAGACTCCATCTCAAAAAACAAAAAAAAACTTCAATACAAAAAGAGGATGACTTTTCTGACATCAAATCAAAGGGATCAAATATCCCAATTTGCCCAGAAATGTCTGGTTTTAGCAATGAAAAGTTCCACATCCTTGGAAATTCCTTAGTCCTGGGTAGACTAGAATAGTTGCTGACCCTTTCTCAAACTATTTTCTGGACAATTAAAATTTTAATTTAAATAGTAATCTTTTTAGTTTTTATGTAGAAAAAGACTATGTTCTTTCTTCAGTCTATTTTGGTTGGTGCCTCTCAGCTATTTTTTTCAAGCTGTCTGTGCACTCATTTATACACAGTTGACTGTGTTACAAATTGATATACTTTTCTGGAGCAACTTGGTGAGATACAATGAAAAATTTTTTAAATGTTCATAAATGTGAAGAATAGTTCTATTCCTGGGAGTTAATCCTAGGGAAATCACTATAGATTGACCAAAAATGTGTGAAGACATGGATAGTCATCATAGTGTCATTACAGTAAAATACTGGAATTTACTCAAAATGTCTAAATCTGGAGAAATGGATTTATAAATTTTGCTACAGCCATATAACTTCATGTTAAGTACTCATTTTTAAAATCATGTTTTTGAAGAATGACATTTAAAAAGTGTTTGTGAAATATTGTTAAATTTTAAAAAGTACAAAGTCATTTATATAGTATGAAGCCATTTTTTAAATACATAAATATGAATGTATATGTATGAATTTAAAACTAAATACATTGTTTACATACTGTATGCTACATGTGCATATACTATATATATAAATTGCATACTATTCCAAATTAACATAATACAATGCATAACTTAAGAGTCTACCTCTGAGTAATAAAATTATGAGTGAATTATAATTTATTCTTTCACTGTATCTACATTTCTAATATTCAATACTGAATCCTATTTTATACTTTGAAAGAAGTATAATTTTTAAAAGATTTCTAATGTTATGCAGTGTGATTATAAACAAGAAACAAAATTGCTACAAGCTTTCTAAGAAATCAAGTTCATTATTTTATAGTGACATTTACAGAAAAAAAACCCAAGATACTTAAGACTATACATGAAAACATAATGGGGAATAAAAGTTAAAAGTAGAAAAGACTGATGTAGACTTTGTTGAACCATACATCTCATTTAGAGTAGGTTCTATTACCTCCCAGCTATCTGGCTCCAAGAATTCTTTTTTTTCTGTGGCTTTCAAAAACTCCTCCAGAGTCACCAATCGGTCTTTGTTAGTATCAACCTGATTAAGAGAAAATGTATACATAATATAAAGTAAATCTTTCTCATATTACTTAGACACTAGCAAGTGTCTTGTAATAGATACTATTACATAAACACACAGCAATTAGGACTCACCTAACATCCACAGAAACTAGAGGAAAAAATAAAAAACAGAGTACTCAACATTACACTAGAATTACAGAATAAATACCTTTCTCTTATATAGAATGCAAATTGGAAAATATGAGATATCTATATACCTAATGACCACTAAGTTTCAGTCAGCTGATCTGAGTGGTTAGGTGGCTGGTGTTATCTTCCTCCTTTACCATAATATGTATAATCCCTCTTGAAGCCAAGTTCTTGAGTAAGAAAAACAACCAAGCCAGAAAGAGGACTGTTTTAGCCAAGAATAAAGGAGGTTAAATTAAAACTCTCTCAACATTTTTTTAAAAAACAATTACCTAAATCAAAACTAAAGTTGACAACCTCTCCAAATTCTCTTGCATAGCTGTGACAGCCTGTGGCAAATTTCATTACAAAGGTGTACTCTATAATGGTCAAAAAAATTCACTTGATAGTTGGGATGCCAGCAGTCAATGGAGATCCAAATTTAGCACTTACAGCTCAAAAATTCAGATGAAAATCAGTGAAGCAAAATAGTAGGATTCAATTACCCTGCAAATGATGCCTATATCAGAGTTGTTTGCTTAGAGGGAGGAGAGGCAGAGCAAGAACTGCAGAGAAGGGCAAATATTTAAATGAGGTGGTCATTAGATGGACCATGGACATTTAAGCACAGACTTGGCGGAAGTAAGACCTTGTGATGATCTTGAGAAGGTATATTCCAGAAAAAAAAGATAAAGTCCAAATGCCCTAAAATGGGAACAGGCTTGATAAGAGGTAAACATCAAAAGGCCAGTGTGGCCAGTGGAGAGAGAGAGAGTCACAGAACATGGGATTAGAGAGCAAGGCAAGGATAAAGTCACGAATCTTTTGGAAACAGGAGGGATTTGGGATCATATCACAAGGAAAAATGCAAGCTATTGAAGTATTTCTGTGCAAGAGAGCACAAGACCTGATTTATGCTTTTAGGAGCTTACTCTGCCTGTTTATAGAGAAGTGTCTATAGCGGGGTAAGGAATGGAAGCAGAGATGCCAGTTAGGAGACTTGCTTGGACTTTATTGGTATTAAATAGTAGTGGAACATGGGGGAAGTGGTCAAATTCTGCATCTGTTTGAAAGATAGATCAAATAGAACTTATAGAGGAAATGTAAAACAAGAGGAAAGAAGTCAAGGATGACTTAGCCTCAGCAACTAGATAAATGATTCACTTGCTGAAATAAAGAAGGCTGGGGAAGGAACAGATCTGGGTCTGGAAAAGATGTGTATTAAATATGCACAGAGAACTGTAAAGCAGATATAAGCCTGGTACTCAGGGAAGGGAGAGAGCTGAAGATAAAAATGTTGAACTCATCAGCAAACATGCTGATATAGAGCATACATAGAGACATGAGATTCCATACTATCACCTAAGCAAAGAATGAAGCTAGAAAGGAGAATAAGGCCAAGGGACAGGCCCAGGGCAATGCAACATGTAGAACTTGGAAACAGGAGGAAGAACCAGCAAAGAAGAGAGAGTGAGGTTATGAAGAAACTGAGCAGGTGTGGTTTTCCAAAAGCCAAGTGAAGGAAGCATTTCAAGAAAGAGAGGCATCAGCTATATCAAATGTTGCTAAGGGGTCACGTAAGATGGATTTGACAAGAGGTCATCCGATGGGAGGATTTTTAAATGGAATGATGGAGGCTACAGCATGTTCAGCACAGATTAAGATGAACATGAAAGAAGAAAAACAGGAAGAGGAAGAATAGACAACTCTTTGAAGAAGAACAGAGCAATAAGCCAGTAACCAGAGGTTGTTTTTTGTTTTTCAGTACCGAAGAAAAGGTTTACTTTGGTTTCATTTTGAGATGAAGTCTTGCTGTCACCCAGGCTGGAGTTCAGTGGTGCAATCTTGGCTCACCGCAACCTCCGCCTCCTGGGTTCAAGTGATTTTCATGACTCAGCCTCCCAAGTAGCTGGGATTATAGGTATGCACCACCACACCTGGCTAATTTTTGTATTTTTAGTAGAGACGGGGCTTCATGATGTTTGCCGTTTGAGACCAGTTTGAGACTGTTCTCGGACTCCTGACTTGAAGTGATCCACCTGTCACGACCTCCGAAAGTGCTGGGATTACAGGCATGAGCCACCGCACTCAGCTCAAAAAAACGTTTTATACCTGATATGCAGTAGCATCTTTATCTTTTAGAATGTTTTAAAGTAGTGACAAATTATTTTATTCATACTAAAGGCATCTAGTATAATAATCTGGATCAAAAATGCAAACTCCAGCCTGGGCAACATAGCAAAACCTTGTCCCTACAAAAACATAAACAGTTAGCCGGCAGCCTGGGCAACATGGCAAAACCTGTCTCTTAAAAAAAAAAAAATCTGCCTGGTGCAGTGGCTCATGCCTGTAATCCCATCTAGCACTCTGGAAGACTGAGGTGGGCGGATCACTTGAGGTCAGGAGTTCAATACCAGCCTAGCAAACGTGGTGAAACCCCATCTCTACTAAAAATTAAAAAATCAGCCAGGCGTGGTGGTACATGCTTGCAATCCCAGGTACTCAGGAGGCTGAGGCAGGAGAATTGCTTGAACCCGGGAGGCAGAGGCTGCAGTAAGCCAAGACAGAGCCACTGCACTCCAGCCTGGGTGACAGAGTGAGACTGTGTTTCAAAAACAAACCAGAAAAAGGCTGATGGCTCACACCTGTAGTCCCACCTATAATCCCAGCACTCTGGGAGACCGAAGCGGATGGACTACCTGAGGTCAGGAGTTCAAGACCAGCCTGGCCAACATGGTGAAATCTTGTCTCTACTAAAAATACAAAATTAGCCAGGTATGATGGTGGGTGCCTGTAATGCCAGCTCCTCAAAAGGCTGAGGCAGGAGAATCACTTGAACCTGGGAGGCAGAGGTTGCGGTGAGCCAAGATCATGCCACTGCACTCCAATGTGGGCGACAGAGACTCCATCTCAAAAAAAAAAAAAAAAGCCATGGCGACTTGAGCCTGTGGTCCTTCCTCAGTCTCAGGACGCTGAGACATGACTGCTTGAGCCCAGGAGACTGAGGTTACAATGAGCCATGATTGTATTACTGCACTCCAGTGCAACAGAGCAAGACCCTGTCTAAAAAAAAAAAAAAAAAAAAAAAGCAAACTCCATTCCAGTACATTCAGTATATTTTCCATCTTAAAGTAAGATTTATTGCAATATAGAAATAATATATTATCTTAAACTTTTAAAACATACCTCATTCATTACATGTTCCCTCATTCTAAGCCTTTCTTCTTCCATTTCTACCATATCATCCTCTTCATTTTTAGGGTCATATACTTTCTCCAACTAAAAAAAAATTTTTTTTAATTTTAATTACTTTCCATGAAAGGAAAGGAAGTAATAGAAGAAAAAAAGAGAACAAGAACACTGAATACTTAATAAACTCATTTACCTCTTTAGTAAATAGGGCTTCCAATTCTTGTTCATCTAGGAATCCATCACTATTGACATCTAAAGTTTAAAAGTTACAGATGCAAAAATAGATATTAATACCTTAGAAAATAAATAATTAAAATTCAACAATTTATAAAAGGTTTACAGTAGTACAGATGTGAAGCATCGGTAGACTGCAGAAAAGCATTTCTTCTTTTTCATGAAGCTTTAGATCAGCTCAATTGATAAATATGCTGTATTTATTTGCAATGCATAATCATTTGTGAGGAAAGTATATTGTGATCATTTTTTTCCAAAAATATAAAGTAAACCAATATTCTATGAGTAGAAGTAAAATTTAATATAGCCTATTAAATTTAATAATAAAAACAAAAATTTAAATAATAAAAATTATTTATAACTAAATAAAATTATAATAAAAAATTAAAAATAAAAATTTAATAAAATTTAATAAAGCCTATTAGATATAATCTAGCTAGTCACAGTTTACAGTTTTCAGTTTACAGAGAACTTTGCAATAATTCATATAATGACTCAACAGTAAAAGCAGGGATAAAGAACCTAAAATATTTTAGACTGAAGGTGAGCAATAAGACTATCATATTAGCCGGGCAAGGTGGCTGACACCTCTCATCCCAGCACTTTGGGAGGCCGAGGTGGGTGGATCATGAGGTCAGGAGATCAAGACCATCCTGGCCAACACGGTGAAACCCCATCTCTACTAAAAATATAAAAATTAGCTGGATTTAGTGGTGTATGCCCGTAGTCCCAGCTACTTGGGAGGCTGAGGCAGGAGAATCACTTGAACCTGGGAGGTAGAAGTTGCAGTGAGCCGAGATCGCACCACTGCACTCCAGTCTGGTGACAGAGTGAGGCTCCATCTCAAAAGAAAAAAAAAAAAACTATCATATTACCCTACAAAAACTCTAACTATGGCCAGGTGCAGTGGCTCACACCTGTAATCCCAACACTTTGGGAGGCCAAGGTGGGTGGATCATGAGGTGAGGACTTCAAGACCAGCCTGGCCAACATGGTGAAACCCCATCTCTACCAAAAATACAAAAATTATCCAGGTGTAGTGGCATAGGCTTGTAGTCCCAGCTACTCGGGAGGCTGAGGCAGGAAAATTGCTTGAACCCAGGAGGCAGAGGTTGCAGTAAGCTGAGATTGTGCCACTGCACTCTTACAAGCAGTAAGCTTGGGTGACAGAGTGAGACTCGGTCTCACTAGAACTCAATAGCAGACCTTGCCAGAAATTAAGAGGAAAGCAAATATTTTTTCAAACAGCAGATATAAATATCAAACATATATCAAATATATTTGTATCAAATCTGTTATCAAATTTTATCTATTTGTATCAAATAGATACAAATATCAAATATATTTGTATTAAATCTGTTACCATGTAATTTGAAAAATGTCTTGGGGTCAAAGTCATTAGGATCCAATCCATCAGTCTCTTCCCATACCTCTTTTAGTTGATCTTTGCTTCCCTGTGAATCAATTTAAAAAAAATTGTTCAAAACAAAATATAATATATCTGTACAGACTCAAAATATAAATTTGAGGAACTCTGGAGAATTAAGAATTAAGTACTAATAACATGATAAAATTCTGCTAATACAAAGCAGTATCTTTATCTAAAAATGGTTTCATAAAGTCACAGTTCTTACTGGATGATTAACTTTAGGGTGATTTTCATGCTTTTTCTTCATTTCTTCAAATTTAGATTCTTCTTCTTTCCTCTTTTCTTCATTCAATGTTTTTAAATATTCTCTCCTTTCATGCTCCTTCATCATTTCATATTTTTTAAATTCTTCATGTCGAGTCTTGTCATAGTGTTCCAGATCATTTGTTGCCTGAGATGCGATAATGCATTTAAGTTAAATAAAAACATGCATTTGCAAAATGTGTAAATAAAGCCATTCTTGAATATAGCAAATTCTTGAATAGAGGAGGTACAGGAGGGCAAAAATATAATGGACTCCTCTTTTTTTTTTTTTTTTGAGATGGAGTCTTGCTCTGTCATCCAGGCTGGAGTGCAGTTGCGTGATCTTGGCTCACTGCAACTTCAGCACCTCCCAGGTTCAAACGATTCTCCTGCCTCAGCCTTCCAAGTAACTGGGACTACAGGCATGCACCACCACACCTGGCTATTTTCAGTAGCAGTGGGGTTTCACCATATTGGTCAGGCTGGTCTTGAACTCCTGACATCGTGATCCACCCACCTCGGCCTCCCAAAGTGCTAGGTTACAGGCACAAGCCACCATGCCTGGCCTGGACTCCTCTTTTTTAATTCTACCATTTAATTTTAGTCAAGTTTATTTTTATTTTTTTATTTTTTATGAGACGAGTTTCACCTGTCACCCGGGCTGGAGTGCAGTGGCACGATTTTGGCTCACTGCCACTTCCATCTCCTGGATTCAAGCGATTCTCCCAACTCAGCCTCCTGAAACCTCCCGAGTAGCTGGGATTACAGGTGCTCACTACCATGCCTGGCTAATTTTTACATTTTTAGTAGAGATGGGGTTTGACCATGTTGGCCAGGCTGGTCTCAAACTCCTGACCTAAGGTGATCCACCCACCGCGGCCTCCCAAAGTGCTGGGATTACAGGCATAAGCCACCATGCCTGGCAATTTTAGTCATTATTATTACCAGAGATGTAGGTATTCAAAGAAATTAAAAGTTCAAAGCCAGCCCCAACTTTAGGAAGCTCATCATAAGCAAGTAATATATAAGTTGATTTCAAAAAAAAGAAGAAGAAAGGAACTACATCAAATCTAGACAGTTTAGAAAATTTAAATGGCTTCTAACCATTTAAGTAAGCTAATACCTGCCACGTTGGAACTAACTCTCTTCACATGTAATGTGAGAGGTCCACAAACTCTTATCTAAAATCCCCGAGGCCAGATGTGCTTCAGAATTTTCTACCTTAAAGAAAGGGAATATGGCACATATGCCATGTTATAGAATATCCCTGTAGCATCTGTAATCAAACAGACTAGTACTTCTTAAGCAAAATCTATAAATACTCACACTAAGTAGGCTAAATAAAAACTGTAAATGGTATTACTGTAATTGGTTCATTCAAGCCAGATTTCAGTTTCTACAGCTTTTGGATTTAGGAATTGTGGATAAGAGATTTTAGACCTGTATGTCCCTATTAATATCTATATTAATAAAGGTTAAGCTACCTTCCTTTAAAGATCTTCTACAGAATATATAGAAGTTAATTTCCATTTCATTGAGTTTATTTTTCAAATAACATAACCTCAAAGGCACAATAAACACAATGCTTTCTGGAGTTATTCTCACCGCTTTGATTAGCATATCTAAATCTGTGGATTCAAACTTGTCAGGATTCAGGTGGTTTAGGTGATCAAATTGTTTTAGAAGAGCTTGGTGGTCCATGCCTATATCTGAAAGTAAATGAGAAAACTGTAAATGATCAATTACTAGAAGCTAGAAACATTATAAATAATAGATAAGAAAAACATTTCATATTTATACCTATTAAGATTTTATAGGGAAATTCAAAGTTTTAGAATAAAGGTTTATGTCTACTTTATGAATACTGCATATGTTATTCTAGGCCAAGGTAGTGTCCTTGAACCTAGAGTGGAATACAATGGAATACAATTTAATATGTATATTTTTTTAAATTCTCTCTTTTTTTTTTTTTTTTTTTTGAGACATGGTCCTGCTCTGTCACCCAAGCTGGAGGGCAATGGTACAATCATGGCTCACTGCATTTTTTAACCTCCTGGGCTCAAGCAATCCTCCCACCTCAGCTTCCCAAGTAGCTAGGACAACAGGCATGTGCCACTATGCCTGGGTCATTTTTTTTTTTTTAATTTTTTGGTAGAGATTGCCCAGGCTGGTCTTGAATTTCTGGCCTCAAGTGATCCTCCCAGCACAGCCTCTGTAAGTGCTGAGATTACAGGCAGAGCCACCATGCTTGGCCTTTTGAATACTTTAATGTTATAGCTAAAATGACTAGTTATAATTATCAGCATAATTAATAACAAACCCTTTTTGAATATCTCAAAACTATTAAATATCCTGCTTTTAATTAGATAAACTCTAATATAGTGTCACTATCAAAGGTTAAAGTAGAATTTCTAAAAGTAAATGCTCTAAAGTTTACATGAAAGAATTCCCTGCATATTGTGCCAATGAATCCTTTATGAAACAATAAAAATCTAATGTAGGTAAATTCCTTTGAATTATGACTTACTTTTAAGGAAATACCAATTTTGTTTTAATTTTTAAAAAACAAGTTACAATTTGCTATAGTGAAATGGGTAAAGTGATGCTGGATTGTTTCAGTTGTATTACACAGTGGAGACTGTAATGGATACATAGCGGATACACATATAAAACAGCTCACCAGAAACAACCCAATATGAGCCCTTATAGAATTCAGCAAAATGGGTACATGTGTTGAAGTTGTTGGAAATCAGCTTTCATTTAGGAAGAAGGAATATACAAATATGGAATGGTGAAAGGCAAGAAAGAAATTGGTAGAGATGAATGGGAATTGGAACTATCTGTGTGAACTCAACATTTCTAAAATATGTGCATTTAACAGGTATATGCAAATATTTCATATGTATATGAATATGTATGTGTGTATATATGTGTATATGCATGTCTATGTGTATAAACATACATATTTTCTAACTCCGTGGGATTAAAGTGCCAAGAAAATACATTCTAGTAGCAAGGAGCATACCTAGTGCCAGCTCATGATCCAAAATATAGTTGCCCATTGGCCAGGTGCAGTGGCTCATGCCTATAATCCCAGCACTTTTCGAGGCCAAGGAAGTCAGATCACATGATCAAGAGATGGAGATCATCCTGGCCAACATGAAACCTCATCTCTACTAAAAATACAAAAATTAGCTTGGCTTGGTGGCACATGCCTGTAGGCCCAGCTACTCAGGAGGCTGAGGCAAGAGAATCGCTCAAACCCGGGAGGCAGAGGTTGCAGTGAGCTGAGATTACACCACTGCACTCCAGTCCGGTGACAGAGCGAGACTCTGTCTCAAAAAAATAATATATATGTTATATAATACATGTTTAATACATATTAAACATAAATAATATATAAAAACAAATATATTTTTTTTTCTTAGTGGGTTCATGTGTGCACGCATGCACGCATGCTCGCGCGCACACACACACACACACATATATATATATGTATCTCCTCAGAGAAACGGCTCATTCCAGAGCTGGGGCAGGGTAGGTACAAGTTGATTCTGGAACATAACATTATGCCAGGAAGTGAAGAACTACTAAATCTAGTTCAACCAAGTTTTCACTGAATTCTAAGTGTGGCACTGTACTAGCAGTTCTATTTATGAAGAAAAGGCTTGTTTTAAGACTTAGCCTTAAAAAAACATAACCAGACAGTGAAATATATAAAAAGACCCTTAAGCTCACTCTAAGAGAAATGTATATTAAAACTGCACTGCTATGCTATCTAACAGAACTGGAAAACTCCTACAGTTTGATGACACATGCCATTAGTAAAGCTGTGAGGATTTATTGATGGTGGGTATGTATACTAATACAACCTCTATGGAGGCAAATGTGGCAATATCTATCAAAATTACAAACATATATATATATATTCTATATATAATTTGATTTGGAAATTTCACTGTAAGGAGAATTATCCTAAAGACAATCTTATAGGGATACACAGTGATATAGGTACAGGACAGTTCACTAGAAATAACCTAAATATCAATTGATAGGGGCCTGGCTAAATAAATTATAGTATATCCATATAATGGAGTGCTATGCAGTTGTAAAAACAATGAGATAGTCTTTATGTACTAACACAGAAAGATATTCAATATATATTATTAAAAGAAAAACAATCCACAAAAGTATATATTTCCTTTCACATAAAAAGAGAGGAACAATTTAAAAAATTATTTGTATTTGCATATATACAAATAAAGAAACTCAAGAATCAGGTACAGTGGCTCATGCCTATAATCCCAGTACTTTAGGAGGCTGAGACAGGAGGGTCACTTGAGGCCAGGAACAGGAGTTCAAGACCAGCCTGGACAACATAGCAAAACCTCTTCTCAATTTAACTTACAAATAAATAAATAGATAGATAAACTCAAGGAGGATGACGTTAGAAGACAATGGAAATTGACAGGATACAAAAATATCAGGTAGATTTTGCTCCATATTTTCTATGTTTGAACCATGTGAATGGGCCAGGTGTGGTGGCTCATGCCTGTAAACTCAGCACTTTGGGAGACATTGGTGGGTGGATCACTTGAGCTCAGGAGTTCAATACCAGCCTGGGTAACATAGCAAGACCCCACCTCAATAAAAAGAAAAAAAAAACTGCCTACTTTAAAAATTACCCTCCTCCCCAAAATTAAGACTGTTTAAGCCCTTCCTCAAATTATATTTCAATTTATACTGAATCAATAAAAAAATATTCCTTAGTTTCTAAGTTATATCAGACTGTTTTGTTTTTCCTTGAGATGGAGTCTCACTCTGTTACCCAGGATGGGGTGCACTGGCACCATCTCAGCTCACTGCAACCTCCACCTCCTGGTTTCAAGTGGGGTACAGTGGCACGATCTCAGCTTACTGCAACCTCCCCCTCCCAGATTCAAAAATTATCCAGGTGTGGTGGCACGTGCCTGTAGTCCCAGCTACTTGGAGGCCACCACAGCTGGCTAATTTCTGTACTTTTAGTAGAGACACGTTTCACCATGTTGGCCAGGCTGGTCTCAAAGTCCTGACCTCAGGTGATCCACGCACCTCAGCCTCCCAAAGTGCTGGGATTACAGGCATGAGCCACCATGCTCAGCCTAGACTGTTTCCTTTATGTAATAAAATTTAGTACCCATCCTGGAATAAAGAAGATACTGTTAAGACTGAGGGGATGGAAGTTGTCCTGGGCAGAGAAATCTCCACACATCTTAGGCCTGGCTTCAAGAATGGAATTACCTCAAGTAGTATGGCATGTCTCAATTTACTTCTCATAGATATCCTTAATTTCGGGATGATGTGTATTTGGTATTTGTTTTCTAAGACTATATGTTTAAAATGTAGATTACTATACTCTTTCCCAGAGCCAGAATCTCTGGAGGTCAGATCTAGTAATCTGTATTTCTAACAAGATTTCTAGGTGATTCTCATGCAATCTGAAGTTTTAGAACTACTATTCCAGGAGTTAAATGTTCAGATGCTTATCAATGACAAAAAACCACCCAGACAACCAGCCTATGGGAGCATATCACAAGGACACATGAACCAGTTTGAAAGCTCTCCCACTGGCTAAATCTGCTCTTTGATTTTGACTCATAATTAGAAAGTTTATTACAAGGCAATGCAAGAAGTTCACCTATGCTGTCACATAGTACTTTTATGATTTTTATTTTCTACACTTAAAATTCATTTACAATTATTCTGATATAGGATATAAGAAACATCGCTTCACTACACCTTTTCCCAAATGGCTAGCCAGTTATACCAACACTATTTAGTTAATAATCTGTTGGGTGTGGTGGCATACACCTATAATCCCTGCACTTTGGGAAGCCAAGGCAGGAAGATCACTTGAGGCCAGGAGTTCCCTCACACCAGCCTGGGGAACACAGTGAGACCTTGTCTCTACAGAAAAAAAAAAAATTAGCCAGGCATGATGGCACACTACTGTAGTCCTAGTTACTCAGAAGGCTGAAGTGTGAGAATCTCTTGAGCCCAGGGGTCAGGCTGCAATGAGCTATGATTGCACCACTGCACTCCAACCTTGGTGACAGAGTGAGACCTGTCTAAAAAAACTAAATAATAATAATAAAAAATAAAAACCTATCTTCATCCCACTAATAACGAGATACCACCTTTATATTAAACTAAATTCTGTTATATATTTAACTTACTTCTGGAATTTCTATTGTGTTTCATTGGTCTTTCTAAGTCATACAGTTTTAATGACTGAGGCTTAATGACATAATTTGATCTTTAATATTAAAGATTTAATATATATTAAAGGTCCAGTTTCTAATATCTAGTCCTTCATTGTTCTTTTTCAGAGGTATCTAAGTTTTCTTACTTGTGTCCTTTTTCTTTTCTTTTCTTTTTTGAGACTGAGTCTCACTCTGTCACCCAGGCTGGAGTGGAGTAGAGTGATTTCAGCTCACTGCAACTTCTGCCTCCTGGATTCAAGCGATTCTCCTGCCTCAGCCTCCCAAGTAGCTGGGATTACAGGCATGCGTCACCACTCCCAGCTAATTTTTGTATTTTTAGTAGAGACGGGGTTTTACCATGTTGGCCAGGCTGGTCTCGAACTCCTGACCTCAGGTGATCTGCCCACCTTGGCTTCCCAAAGTGCTAAGATTACAGGCGTTAGCCACTGTGCTCAGCCTACTTATGTCCTTTTTCATATGAGCTTTAAAAAATTCACTTGGTCAATTCTAAATCTTCTGGAAAAAAAAAAACTAAATAAAAAAAATTTTCACTTGCCTAGTGCCAGAAAAATAAATGTATATATTTTTATTGTAATTATATTTAAATTATACATTAACCTAGAGAAAACTGACATAACATTGAGTCTTTGTATCAAAAAGTTATTGTGTCTTCCCACTTGTGTAAGTATACTTTTGCATTCTTCATGAGTATTTTAAAGTTTTTGTCTGTCAGTTCTGCACATATCTGAATAAGTTTATTCTGGGCATTTAATCTTTGTTGCTATTGTAAATGGAGTCCTTTTCTTCAATTCTACCTTCTAACTGTTGTGTACATATGGAAAATATTGATTACTATCGATTAAGTTTACCATAATTTTCCTATTAAGGGGCTCAATTTTCCTATTGTTTATAGTAAGTTTTTCCATTAATTATTTTGGGTGTTCCATATATACAATCACCATATCATCTGTGAAAAAAGATGATTTTATCACCTCCTTTCCAAGTACTTTACCTCCAATTTTTTTTAATTTGGCTAGGCCGGGCACAGTGGCTCATGCCTGTAATCCCAGCACTTTGGGAGGCTGAGGCGGGTGGATCACCTGAGGTCAGCAGTTCAAGATCAGCCTGACCAACATGGTGAAACTCTGTCTCTAAAAAAATAAAAAATTAGCCAGGTGTGGTGGTGGGAGCCTGTAAGCTACTCTGGATGCTAAAGCAGGAGAATCATTTGAACCCGGGAGATGGAGATTGCAGTGAGCCAAGATTTTGCCACTATGCTCCAGCCTAGGTGACAGAACGAAATCTCATCTCAAAAAAAAAATTAAAAATTAAAATAAAAAATAAAAAAAATAAACGTTTTGAGTAGTACCTCCAAAGCAATGTTATTTAGTGGTGGTTACAGTAGGCAATGTTATTTAGTGGTGGTTACAGTAGGCAACACTGTCTTGTTTCTAATTTCAGTCAGGCTACATACTTGTGCTTTCCCACTTAGTATGATGTAACTGAATTGGATATAGCTAATTGTGTTACAGAAGTATCTATTAATTAGTGTTTTATTACTTTTTTTTATCTTTCTTTTTCTTATCTTCACCCTGGAAGTATTTTATTACTTTAAATCATGAATTGGTATTCAATTTTGTCAAATGGATTTTCTGCATACATGGAGATAGCCATATGACTTATGAGATAACTTTAAGACATCCTTGCATTTCAGAAATTCTATTTCACAGCTATTTAATCTTCTCATAGTCTAAAAATAAAAGAATACAGGATTCAAATATTTATTCCAATTTATCATTTGTCCTTTGACTTTACGGTTTTTTGGTTTTATTTTTGTACAACAAAATTTTAAAGACTTTTTTCTCCTTAGGACTATTTATATGATAATTTATAATATTAGATTTCCTAATATTAAGTCAATCTTATATTCCTGAAATAAATCCAACTCTGTTATGAGATAAATTCTTTGGAGACATAATAATTTTGATTTTGGCATCAATATATTAACAAGAATGTGGAAGCTTTCCTTCTTTTTCTATGCTCTGGAATAGATTAAATAGAATTGACAATCTGCTCTTTAATGGTTTCACAGAATCACTCAAATCATTAAAGAGCAGACAGATAGTTTCCTTTATGAAACTATCTCATTCTGAGAGTCAGGCAAGGTGGCTTGCATATGTTATCCCAGCAACTCAGGATTGCTTAAGGCCAAAAGTTTGAGACCAGCTTGGGCAACACAGTGAGATCATGTCTTTAAAAAATAAAATTTAAAAAAAAATTAGCAGGGCATGGTGGTGTATGCCTGTACTCTTAGCTACTTGGGAGGCTGAAGTGGGAGGACTGCCTGAGCCCCATAAATTCAAGGCTGCAGTGAGCTATGATCATGCCACTGCACTCCAGCCTGGGTGACAGAGCAAGACTCGTCTCCTAAAATATTTTCTTTAAAAAAAGAAAGAAAAGAAATGGTCTGGATCTGGTGTTTTCTTCTTGGGGCTAGATCTCTGAAAAATTTTCTATTCCATATAAGAAAATTATTCTAATTAGATTTTCTTTCTCTGCTTTCCCTTAATATTTTTCCTCCTTTAAATCAGTTGTTTAATTCATTACTTTTCATTGCTATAATTATGGCTAATTGCACTAATTTTTGAATGATATAAAATGTATCATCTATTCAAAACATTAAATTCCAAAAATTAAGAGAAGCCAAATCAATACCAACATAAAATTTTGACTAGAAAGACATAGATGGCACGTGCTAATATAAATTGACCTCAACAACCAAATATTAAAATTTTCTAGCCAGGCCCAGTGGCTCATGCCTGTAATCTCAGCTCTTTGGCAAAGGTAGGAGGAGTGCTTGAGCCCAGGAGTTCAAGACCAGTCTGGGCAACACAGCAAGACTCTGTCTCTACAACTAATATAAAAATTAGTGAGGCGTGCTGGCACACACCTGTGGTCTCAGCCACTCAGGAGGCTGAGGATCACGTGAACCCAGGTGGCCAAGGCGGTAGTGAACTGTGATTGTGCCACTGCCCTCCAGTCTGAGTGACAGGGCAAGACCCATTTCAAAGAGAAAAAAGAAAAAAAAAAATCCTACCTTTTATTTAGCACTTACCTTGAAGGGAATCCAACTTAGCTTTAATTAGCATTCTTAACCTTCCTACTTCTTGCCTTTTCAGTTCATCGAGTTTTGTCCTCACATGGTGACTTACTAAATCCAGCTCTTTGCTTAGCCTCCCACTCTGTAAACAAAATTAATAAATTAGTTTTACCTATTACATTCCATTTTGAGACAAATGCAACAGCTTAAAAATAGGGTTATAATACATTAGTGATAAATGCTTTTGACTAAGTTAGATAAATTTAATATTATAACAAGAATTTCTTTCAAAAGGTATTAGCTTCAGGGTTGGGCACGGCAGCTCACCCTTGTAATCCCAGCACTTTGGAAGGCTGAGGCAGGCGATCACCTGAGGTTAGGAGTCCGAGACCAGCCTGGCCAATGTGGCACAATACCGTCTCTACTAAAAATGCAAAAATTAGCTTAGTGTGGTAATGCATGCCTGTAATCCCAGCTACTTGGGAGGCTGGGACAGGAGAATCACTTGAACCCAGGAGGCAGAGGTTGCAGTGAGCCAAGATTGTATCACTGCACTCCAGCCTGGGTGACAGGAGGGAGACTCTGTCTTAAAAAAAAAAAAAAAAGATTAGCTTTAATTCTAAAATCAAGATGTCTGAAAAACTATGTAATTTAGAAAAGCATCATTAAAGCACAAGGCAGAAACTCAAAAGGTTAAATTGTAAAATGGTATAGCCACTTCAGAAAACAGTTTGGCAGTTCCTCAAAAAGTTAAACATAGAGGTACCATGGCCCAACAATTCCATTCCTAGATATACACCTGAAAGAACTGAAAGCATGTTAACACAATAACTTAAACATAATGTTCATAGCTGCATATTCATACTAGCCAAAAAAGCAGAAACCTAAATGTCCATCAACTAATGAATGGATAAACAAAATATAATATATCTATACAATGGTATATTATTTGGCCATAGGAAAGTATAAAATCCTGACATATGCTGCAACATGAACGAACCTGTAAAACATTATGGTAAGTCAGAGAAACCAGATACAATAAACCACATATTATATGTATTGTATGAGTCCATGTATATGCAATGTCCAGAACAGGCAAATCCATAGAGATAAAAAGTAGATTCGTTGTGGTTGGGGGAAAGGTACAATTAGGAGTTACAGCTTAATGGGCACACAGTTTCTTTTGCAGACAATGAAAATATTCTAAAATTAGATAGTGATGATGATTGCATGACTCTGTGGGTATATGAAAAAACTACTGAAATGGCTGGGTGTGGTGGCTCATGCCTGTTATCCCAGGACTTTGGGAGGCTGAGGTGGGTGGATTACTTGAGCAATGGAGTTTGAGACCAGTCTGGCCAACATGGTAAAACCCCTGGACGACAGAGGAAGACTCCATCCCAAAAAACAAAAAAGCAAACAGACAAACAAACAAACAAAAAAAACGAATTTTACACTTTAAAAAGATAAATGTTATGGTATATGAATTATATGTCAACAAAGTTTTATTTTATTTATTTTGAGACAGGATCCTGGTCTGTCACCCAGGCTGGAGTGCAGTAGCATGATCATGGCTCACTGCAACCTCAGCCTCCCAGGCACAAGCAGTCCTCCCACCTCAAACTCCTGAGTAGCTGGGACTACAGATGCATACCAACATGCCTGACTAATTTTTGTATTTTTTGTAGAGAGAGAGTTTTGTCATGTTGCCCAGGCTGGTCTTGAACTTCTGAGCTCAAGCAATCTAGCCACCTCAGCCTCCCAAACTGCTGGGATTACAGGCATGAGCCACCGCATCCAGCCTGTTAGTTTTTAAAAAGTTAAGCAGGTCAGTACCATCAGAGCAAAAAAGAACATTTAAATTAAATTAAAAGTCAGTTGGCCTCCATAAGCATTAGTCATTCCATATATAAAAGCCTTTCAAAATTCATCTTTTTTAGGTCTCCTTTGGTTACTTTTTTCATAGATGAATGATTAGTAGGAAAACTAGGAGAATATACTGTTATAGAAACAAAAAGAGCAGTATATTTCAAGGAGATAATAGTCACTATTATTAGATAAAACAATGGTTGTCAAAATATAGTCCCTAACTGGAAGCATCAGCATCACCAGGGAATTTTAGAAATGCAGGCCCTTGAGTTACTGAATTGGACAGCCTGAAGGCAGAAACCAGAAATATGTTTTAACAAACCCTGAAATCTGAAAACTATTAAGATAAAATAAAGGAGCCTAGTAGGATGAGGAATCAAAGGTGTTAGGGTGTTCACTGGATTTGGCAATTAAGAAGTCATGGACACCCTCCATGAAGGGATATTCAATAGAACAGTGAGGGCGGAACCATACCCTTTCCAGTTAGGGAATGTTGGGAAGTGAAGAAATGCAGTATTCTTCTTTCAAAATGCTTAGCTAAAAAGGAAAGAGAGGCCGGGCACAGTTGCTCACACCTGTAATCCCAGCACTTTGGGAGGCCAAGGCAGGGGGATCACTTGAGGTAAGGAGTTTGAGACCAGCCTGGACAACATGGCAAAACCCTATCTCTACTAAAATACATAGCATCCCACGCCTGTAATCCCAGCTACTTGGCAGGCTGAGGTGGGAGGATCACTTGAGCCTGGGAGGCAGGGGTAGCAGTAAGCCAAGATCACGTCACTGTACTCCAGCTTAGGTGACCCTGTCCCTCCCCTGTCCCCCCAAAAAAAAGAAAGAGAAAACTCTTAACTTTTTTATGAGACAAGAATCTTTGCTTGGTTATTTGTGATGATTCTATTAGTTTGGGTTTTATTGTCTAGTTTTACTCATTTTTTTTTTTCCTTTTTAAGAGATGAGGTCTCCCATCTCATGTAGGCTAGAGTACAGTCATACAATAATGCCTTATTGCAACCTCACACTTCTGGGGTCAAGTGATCTTCCCACCTCAGCTTTCTGAGCAGCTGGGACTGTAGGCACATACTACCACACCCAGCTAATTTTATCTATTTTTGGTAGAGACTGGGGTTTCATTATGTTGCCTAGGCTGCTCTTGAACTCCTGGGCTCAATTGATCCTCCTGCCTTAGCCTCCCAAACTGTTGGGATTAGAGGTATGTGCCACTGCGCCTGGCCTCAGACAATTTTTTTTCACTTTGAAGGTTAATTTTAATTAAATTAATTAATTTAAAATTTTAAGTTTTTGTAGTGACAGGGTCTCGCTATATTGCTCAGGCTAGTCTCAAACTACTGGCCAGAAGCCATCCTCCTGCTTCAGTCTCCCAAAGTGCTGGGATTACTGGTGTAAGCTGCTGCACCCAGCTCCTCATTTCTTTTTTATTATAAAACTATTTAACTTCATATTGGTTCCCCCAAAACTTCATAGGAAACAGGAATTGAAAGTGAAAGAAGATAGTTATAAAAGTATTCCCTCCACCCATCCAGGAAGCTTATTTTCTTCTTTTGCCTGAATATCTCTGTGGTATCTTCCATGATTCACATTTTCTATGTTACCCCAAATAATGCGTTTACTCCTGATGCAAGACATTAAGAGTTCTACATCAGACATATTCACCATAGGAAATTTGTTCCACAGATCGAATTAATCCTTCAGAAGGGCAAGATTATCCTCAAAGACAATTCCAGAGGATTATTAGCATAACACTATTACCTTTTCCCCAGAAAAGCTCATAACTTCCAGGAGGAGAGCTGCGAACTAAACGCCAGACCTGAGCACTAACAGATACCACAAGCTAACGGGAAACTTCAAAGAAGTTGACACCAGGAACAGAAACTAAAATAAAAGGTTTGTTTGAGTCTTTCAAACGGTTTTCTTATTCTGATTCTAGAAAAAGGCAGCGTAAAGTTTTTAGAAAAGTAAAAAATAAACAAATAAAAGTAACATAAGCAAACAAAATTATCTTATTGAAATTTTAAAATTAACTGGATTGTTTTTACTCACTGAGTCTAAGACAAACCCAGCTAAACTTACTCATTTCCTTTTAAGGAAAGACTTCACAAAATCTCTCATGTCAGATCTTTACAACTCCCTTTCTTATTATCAGTACTAAAGAGCCGACTCTGGCTGAAATTATAGCAAGTAGGGTTCTTAGTACCAGGGCAAATGGTTAAACCTCTCTGATTGATATAATACATAACCCATTATCTCTTCTGTTAATCTGGGACTGATTAAAACACCAGGATCTCACCTATTCCAAACCTTTGAATAAATTCCTGCTGTTCTCAGATAATGACCCAAACTCCTTACCATGATACACAGGCCCTCTGTCACTGAAGCTGCGACTCTTTCCAAACCTCATCTTTCGGCCACTAAAGCCTCCACTTCCCATTCTGGGTTCTTGCAACAGTTAATGCTTCCAGTTTCCCATATACTTCTTGCAACAGTTAATGCTTCCAGTTTCCCATATACCTCTTGCCTCTGTACCCTTGCACCTTTGCCTGGGATGCCTCCCAGTCCCTCTCCTTTTCTCAGTTACATCTTTAAGCTCTGGCATAATCTCTATCAGGAAGAATGACTTCCCACCTTGCCCCATTGTTTCATATTAGATTATGTGTCTGTCTTCTGTATTTCTAGATTATATACTCATTGTATAATCCATCCCGCAATCTATTTCTGGATGATTTTCCCTTGAGGGTTCCTTAAGGGCTGGAAATAAATCTCATCTTTGTATTTCTAGTACTTAGCTCAGTGCCTGGCATGTGCAAATGTATGTTAAATGCTTAAGCCGAGTATGGTGGCATGCACCTGTAGTTCCAGCTACTGGAGAGGCTGAGGTGGGAGGATCGCTTGAGCCCAGGAGTTCAAGGCCAGCCTGTATTATATGGAGTGACCTCATCTTTAAAAAAAATTTAAATTAATATATATATATATATTACTTAATTGCATGTACCTTTATTTCCTCTATGTCTGCTTTCTGGAGCTTTTCTCTGAAGTGTTTATCTGTTTCCAGCACATCAATCACTTGCTTGAGATATTCATCATAATAAAGTCCAGTATCCTTCAAATTAAGAAACAAACAGTAATGCTTCTGCAGGTTTTTTCTTATCTGAATCTAAAAAGGTCAATCCTGAAAAATAATTTCTAGCAAAATGGCATTGAGACATATTTACTTTGATAGTTTCAACAAAGTGAAAAGTTATATTTCTGAAATGGTTTAATATCAGAACCAATATCGTCTTTTATTGTTACATAAAGGTAGATTTTTTTTTTTTTACAACACTCTCTAGTCCAGTAGATTTTCTATATACTTCAGAAGATTTTACCATTTTGGTTTCTCCCCATTGTTATCTGTTTCTGCTTTGAATATAATACAGCATTTTCTTGGCTAGTTAGTTCTGCGTTGGAAATGTATTATGATTAAATCTTCTAGCTAATATACTAACTATATTACATAAATATTGTCTAATAGTAAACAGCATATGCTTGTCCAACACCCTTTCACTGCTATTTCAGAAATAGTTCCCAAGTGTACAATTTTATAAGTAATAAATATTACCAATATTTTTGTGATAATTCCTCCCATTTCATTTTGTTATAATTTCACCTCATTTAGTTATAATTATAATTCATTTCATTTAGTTATAATTCCTCCCATTTCACTTCATTTCACTTACTGGTGGTTCTATCTTTGCACTTTCCACAGGAATATTTTGTACTTTTGTCTTGTCTATGTCTATAGGCACAGCTTCAAGAGCAGTAAGTAGACATGTAATCAAGAGAAAGCAATACTGTCGCAGGAGAGTCCTCCACCTCATCTAAAATAAAGGAACAATTATGGTAAAGTCATGAAAAAATGTTTTAATACTATAGACATGCATTCCATATGTCACATTAATAATATATTTAATTGGGGCTGGGTGTGGTGACTCTTGCTTATAATCCCAGCACTTTGGAAGGCCAAGGCGGGTGGATCACAAGGTCAAGAGTTCAAGACCATCCTGGCCAACATGGTGAAACCCTACCTCTACTAAAAATACAAAAATTATCTGGGCGTGGTGGCATGAGCCTGTCATCCCAGCTACTCAGGAGGCTGAGGCAAGAGAATTACTTGAATCCGGGAGGCGGAGGTTGCGGTGAGCCAAGATCATGCCATTGCACTCCAGCCTGAGCAACAAGAGCGAAATTCTGTCTCAAAAACACACACACACACACACACACACACACACACACACACACACATTTAATCTCAAGAGGTTTAATACAACAAAAAATTTATAGGAAAGGGAAATAGATAACATCTCAAAAATAATGCTTAAAAGAGATCACTAAAGAAAATCAAGGGAGAAATGTTTTTTAGCCAAAATTAAAAAGACAGAAAACAATATTTTAAAGTTTAAACTGTTTTTATAGTGTAAGAAAACATTTGGTTAATTACAAAACCTTCAATGTAGTCATGGCCTTTTTTTTTTTAAAGATAACATGTTTACCCACAGAACATCATTTGGAAAAGAACGCATAACCTCATTTTCACCACAACCCTAGCTGGTACATACTACATACACACGACAGTGACACATTGTACAAATGAAGAAATTAATAATTAAACCAATTCCCTTATGGAGCACTGTCTTGCCATTAACAAACACTAAAACTCACATTTTACTATCTTTATAGCAATGCTTTAGCATCTTTATTGAGATATATTACACATGTCATAAAATTTACCCATTTAAGTAGAGGATATGTCTAACCTATAAAGATGCTATGCAAAGTTTAGTTCTCAATCTTAGAAAATCAGATCATCTGAAAACCCATCAGAAATGCAAATTCTCAGGCTGTACCCAAAACCTCTGGGGTGGGGACCAGGAACCTGTTTTAACAAGCTTTCCAGGGGGTTCCTATGTGTACTAAAACCTGAGATTCACTCTTCTCTAGGGTACTAGAATCTCTAGTAGGATAGTATACTTCACCGAATGTCTTTCTCACTGTGAAACTGCTCCTCTTCCCCACAATTATTTTTAATAACAAAAAAGGTTTATTACTCATTCATGCTTCATGCCTTCACATATGGAGGTGTGCATTTTGGGTTTTTTGAGGTATAACTCATAAGCCATAAAATGTTTTAAATTATACTATTCAGTGTTTTCCAGAATATTCACAAGACTGTGCAACCATCTCTACTATCTAATTTTAAAACATTTTTATCATCTCCAAAAGAAATCCCATACCCATTAGCAGTCACTCACTGTTCTTTTTTTCCATCCCCTGGCCACCACTAATCTACTTTCTATCTGTATAGATCTGCCTATTTTGGACATTTCATATAAATGGAATTTTATGATATGTAGCCTTTTGTGTCTGGCTTTTTTCACTTAACAGTATGTTTTCAGGCCCAACCACACTGTAACAAGTATCAAGACAGGGTCTCACTCTGTGATTCAGGCTGGAGTGCAATAGCACAATCTCAGCTCACTGCAGCCTCTGCTTCCTGGGTGTAAGCGATTCTCCTGCCTCAGCCTCCCGAGTAGCTGGGACTATAGGTGTGTACCACCACGTCTGGCTAATTTTTGTATTTTTAGTAGAGACAGGGTTTTACCATGTTACTCAGGTGGGTTTTGAACTCCTGACCTCAGGTGATCCACCCACCTCGACCTCCCAAAGTGCTAGGATTACAGGTGTGAGTCACCGTGCCTGGCCAACTTTATTCCTTTTTATAGCTAAATAGATGTTCTATAGTACAGATACACCATATTTGTTTATCCATTCATAAACCGATGGACATTTGGATTGTTTCTTTCAGGCAGTTTTGAATAACACTTCAGTAAACATTTGTGTTCAAGTTGTGTTAACATGTTTTCGATTCTTTTGGTTATATAAATAACTAGGAGTAGAATTGCTGAGTCAGTTTCATAACTCTATGTTTTAACTTTTTGAGGAAATGCCAAACTATTTCCCAAAGCAGCTACACCATACATTCTCACCACCTATATATGAGGGTTCTAATTTTTCCATATTCTTCCATGTGTTTGTGTCACTTCTGCTGCTCTCTTCCTCTTCTGCCAAGTCTACCATAATAAGAGGGCAAGTCAAGAGAATGTGTTTGTATGCATGAGGGTGTGTGTGGGTGTGTGTGTATGTCCTGACAACTGACAACATCTTCTTTTTTTTTTTTTTTTTTTGAGACAGAGTCTTGCTCTGTCACCCAGGCTGGAGTGCAGTGGCAGTGATCTTGGCTCACAGCAACCTCTTCCTTCCAGGTTCAAGTGATTCTCCTGCTTCAGCCTCCCTAGTAGCTGAGACTACAGGCACCCGCCACCAAGCCCCGCTAAGTTTTGTATTTTTAGTAGAGACAGGGTTTCACCATGTTGGCCAGGCTGGTCTCAAACTCCTGATCCGCCTGCCTCAGCCTCCCAAAGTGCTGAAATTACAGATGTAAGCCACTGCTTCCAGAGACTAACAACATCTTGATGTGACAAAGTCACAAAAAGTTTCTGAGAAACTACTTTAAAACACTAACTGAATTTATGGTTCCTAAAGATTTAATTGATTCCCATGCTTATTATAAATAACAACAGAAACCATCTACTGAATGTTTACTATGTACCAAGTACCATGCTAAACTTTTAAAAAATATTAACGCATTAACTCTTAAAATGACTCTGAAATCAATATTATTATCTCCATTTCAAAGTACAAACAACTGAGACATATCACTTCTAGTTCACACAGTAGTCAGTCACAGAGCCAGAGTGTAGACGTGGGAGTGACTGACTCCAAAGCCTTTGCTGCCTTTTCAGGAGTGGTTCTCAAAGTGTGGTCCATGGGCCAGCAGCATTGGCATCACCTGGGAATTTGTTAGAAATGTGATTTCTCAAGGTCTATTCCATATTTTCTAAATCAGAGACTCTGGGTATAGGGGGCCTCAATCTGTGTTTTAACAAGCCCTATAGGGGATTCTGATACATGCCAACATTTGAAAACCACTGCCCTAGAACATACTGCCTCCTTTGCTCTATTATTTACCAACCTCACCTACAATGATAGACAAAGGGAAAGCCCATCTCAAAGGTAAACTTGGATCTTTAAAAAACAGAAAGTGGGAAAAAATAGAAATAAAAAGTGGGTTTTATACTAAGCAGTAAGGCAGAAATAAATTTAGGTCTATATTGTAATTCCAGCTACAACACTTACTTGCTATGTGATCACAGGCTCATCAATTAACTTTTCCCACCTCAGTTCTCTCATTTATAAAAATAAAAAAAAAATTTAAATAAGAAAATTTAACTTGACCTCAGTATTAAGTACTTAGATTCTATTATGTATTTATTCTTTTGAGTACAGATCTTTCTGTCACCTCATCAGAAATACTAAAAAAAAAAAAAAAAAAGGGTGCTTGTACTCACGCCATTCATTTAAAATGATTAAATTATACAACTTGTAAATGCCTTTAAACTAAATACTGCTATTCAGCCAGCTTAAAATTATATTGGTAAAGCAAGTAGCAGGCCTGAGTGCTGAGATACAAAGATTAGCAACAAGGAAAATCAACTAGCAAAGAAAGTTTACATCTAGATACAGTAAAAATGAGTAAAGCCAGTACATAAATCCAGGAAAGTTTCACACTTTGGAAACAAAATATGGAACATTATCCCCTCTAATCAAATTTAGAACTTGTTTCTGTGGAAGTAGAAACAAACCTCTTCCTTGATTTCAGTTTTAGAGAGTGTCAGACTTACATTTCATTCAAGCTAGATTTATACTTAACTTTTGCAAGAAAGAGGAAAATGAATTGTGACTGCCATTTCAAAGCCAAAAACTTTCACTTCTTGAGAATTTTAAAGGACAAAAGATTTTTTTTTTTTTTTTTGAGTCTCACTTTAAGTCTCACTCTGCCACCCAGGTTGGAGTGTAATAGCACAATCTTGGCTCGCTGCAATCTCTGCCTCCTGGGTTCAAGCGATTCTCCTGCCTCAGCCTGCAGAGTAGCTGGAATTACAGGCATAGGCCACCACGCCTGGCCAATTTTGCATTTTTAGTGTTTGTATTTGTATTTTAGTTTCACCATGTTGGCCAAGCTGGTCTTGAACTCCTGACCTAAGGTGATCCACCCATCTCGGCTCCCCAAAGTATTGAGATTACAAGTGTGAGCCACGGCACCTGGCCCAAAATACTGATATTTTTAAGGAGAAATCTGTTTGTTTAAAAATCAAATACAACAGAACTAATTAATAATAAATACAGCCAGAAGCAAGAGGACACATATTATATGATTCAATTCATATAAATGTCAAAAACAGGCAAATCCACAGAGAAAGAAAACAGATTACAGGTGATTGAAGGCTGCTGGCAGTGGGGAGGGAAAAATGAGAAATCAGTGCTAAATGGGTACAGGGTTCCTTTTGGGGTGATGAAAATATTCTGAAATTAGATAGTTGAGATGCTTGCATAATAACCTTATGAATATACTAAAAACCAGTGAATTGTACATTATAAAAGAGAGAATTGTATGATATGTGAATCATATTTCAATTTTTTAAAAAAGGAGTAAAAATAGAGCAAAAAATCTAAGCTTATGAAATGTAAAAATTTGAAAAAATACAATTTATGAACCACTATTAACTTTCTACACTAGTAATGTTTATAATTTTTCAAATTATCCCACTTTTTTATATTCTTAATGATTTTTGTTTGTTCTACAATCACTAGAAAAGCATGTGAAAATCTTACATCATGATTTTGTCTGTTTTCCTTATAATTCTGTTAATTTTTATTCAAATATTACGCATGTACAAATTTAAGATTTTCTAGCTTTATG